ATGAACATGGAAAGGAACCCTCTACCATTAACTCTTTCTGTACTTGTTCATCTGAGATGTGTTTGAGGGAGTAATGAGATTTTCTAATTTGTAAGATCTTTTTATGGAGGGAGGTGAGGGGAGCAAAAGGGGCATAAACAAATTATGACGTGTTGTGTACATGTAACCACCTCCACAATGAATGGGATCAGTATGTGCTAATAACCATGTACTAATAAAAATAAGAAAAAGATTTTTCAGTAATTCCAACCTCCCTTTTCAGATTAAAAAAGGTTGTAAAAAATGGTTAGAAAATATGCACTAAAGAAAAAAAAATTTTTTTAATTTTTTTTATTTATTTATTTATTTATTTATTTATTGGTACCGGGAATTGAACTCAGGACCATGCACTTGCCAAGCAGGCACTTGTGCCGCTGAGCTATATCCTCAGCCCTTTTTAATTTTAAAGAGAGTAAAAATATGGAACACTTCACGAATCTGCATGTCATCCTTGCGCAGGGGCCATGCTAATCTCCGTATCCTTCCAATTTTAGTATATGTGCTGCCGAAGTGAGCACTAAAGAAAAATGTTTAAAGTGGTAAGCAACTCCATTGGCTTTCTCACCTGAAACGGACAATGCAATTTCTTTTCTTTTTCTTCTTCTTCTTCTTTTTTCCTTTTTCTTTTTTAAGCCACCTACACAGGAAAGTGTTCATTTGCCTCGAAAACCTTGTAGTGACCCTGAGGCTCCAAAGTCAAGCTCCTCCACAGGCAGGAAATGCCTTTGCCAGCTCCAAGGTCTCCTTCCAGCAGCGCTCTCCATTGTCTAGTTTTTGTGTACATCCAACTTCTGAAGAGGCTTTCCCACCTGCAACTTCAAATCAAAGAGCTATCTTGAAAGAGGGACGCACTGCTTTTCTGCCTAACATGTGGCACCCACTGGATGCCAGATAACAGTGGCACTCCTGGAACTGAGGTTAATTCATGCATATATCCTGAGGCCTTCAGTCAGCAAGGGGGGTGCAGGGAACTTCATCTGCCTTAGTTCCATCTCTGCTCTTTTCCACCACTGCACAAATTCTGTGGAGACAAGGCTCCCTACAGCCACATCTGAAGGGGTAGCTGCTATTCTGTAGACCTTCTGGAGCTGATACTTTGGTGGGTGAGAGGAATCTACAAAGTGTTTATCATCAGAATTTAACAACAATGTCAAATAAACTTAATTAACTTTAAAAAACAATATCAAAAAGTGTGTCAAGAGACAAAATTAGATTAGACACAGAGAATCCAGCTGGGATTTCTTGAAACCCCATGAGATGAAAAGTAAATGTTAACAGAACATGCGATTATTTTGACCACAAGATACCAAACTCCTAACCATTGAGAAACATCTTGGGTGTCTGATTTTCCATATTCTGTCCCGTGTTACTGTTAAGTCACGTAACTATCACTTCTAATCAAAGATGTAAAGGATCATTATTAGATTTTAAAGAGAAATCAAAGGGTGAGCTTTTAAGTGGAATAAGAATTTTGGTGCATTCTGTCCCCAGCGAAGTGCATCCCCCCACCAAGTCCAGATATACACGCTTGCTTGAATCCCTGTCCTGCCCCCATTAACTGAGATGAATATTCACAGTAATAAAACCACAAGCACAAAGCTTGTCAGAAATGTTGAGAGAGAATAGGTACTTTCACTATCGGAGATGGTTTCCTCTTTTCCCACAAGATGTCTTATCAGCTTTCACCCTGAGAAAACCATAAAAGTAAAAAAAAAACAACCCTTATGCAATAGTTCTCTAAATAAAATACTACACAACAGGCTAGTCATCCCTAAAAGTGATGTTGTTTAAAGAGTCAAAGTACATCATCCAACAAAATCAATATCCTATTAAGTTAGCAAGGTTTCTGAATATCAAAGAGCAACAAACTGAATAACTTAAAGTATAAGTACACGACCCAGGGGATTAATCACACACTGTCATGGTGAAATTAGGGCAATTCTTCCAATCATTAACGTTTTGCTTACAAAAATGTGCTTTTCTGTTTGTCTTTCTGCTAAATGATAACCATTTTCAAGTTGAATCTCCTGATAAAAAGAGTTAAAAAACAAGACAGGAGCTGTGCTGTAAAGGTCATACATGCCGCTTCAACATGAAATAGCCAAAAGACAAACAAATAAAAAATGCCTGGATTGTAGGAAGAATTTGTAAATATTCATTGGCAGTCTGCGGTGGGGCACTTTTAGAAACGTTAACGCCAACTTGTGTCCTGAGAATACTGTACCTCTTCCACTTAACACGCTCTTGATTCTTAAGGACATGCTTAGTTCAGACCGTGAACAGCCTGAAAAGAACTAGGGTTAGTTTTAAATTGGAAAGCAGCCTGGTTTCAGGGACTTGTCAACTTTAAAACAAGACTTCATCCCTCAAGTTTTTGACTATCAATCAATACATAAGTTGGTGTTTCACTGACTAATAGTCATGATACAGTTACTCATAAGAATAAATATTAACCAGAGGTTATCTGCAGAGGCAAAACACACATACAGATTTCAGGATTACTGTAATTTAATTCTAGGTCCACAAGCTTTCCTTCCATTCTCCAAAAATCTGATGCAGACAGTCCCATTTTCAGATAAGACTGATTATGGCCTTTGAAACCTTGTAACTTGGAAGGCAGGGTCTGGAGCTTGGAGCCAGCAACTGATGGGAAGGAAAATTCTCCCACTTGGTGGCTATTTTGGTCTCCAACAATGAGAAAATGTAGAATGGGGGGGTGGGATCAAGAGCATGAACTGAGTTGGCAAATGGGAAGCAAGGGGGTCTTGTAGATCAAGTAGACTATCTTTGTTCTACAGACATGAGCACTGAGGCCAGGAACTAAAACTCCAGTGTAAATCTTCAAGTTTCCAGGCCTACCCACACCTCTCTGCCTAAGAATCAGTGCTCATATTCTCAAAAATCAAAATGACCTGCAGTTCGGAGCAGCGAGTATTTATTTTTTGTTTGTTTGTTTAGAAATCTACGGCGAAAAGATGTGACAATCTGCTAAGAGTCTGGTTTCTTCATTGTCTTGGCCTGAGGGTCCACCTCTGGGGAGTCACCCCTTGTCAGTCAGATCAGGATAGGGCCACTCTGCTCCAAGCCCTCATCCAGTTCCACGGCATCTAGAGAGTTCCATGGAGGCTAAGGCTAGAGGGGTAGATTTCTGGACCTCTTCCTCACAGTCTTTGCCACTGTTTTTTTTGGAATGCCAAAGATCTGATGGCTCAGCTAGGCGGGGAGCTGGCTGCAGGCTATCCATACCCAGGGCTGTCAGAAGCCTCCGCTATGTCCGCCTGTGCCTCAGGATCTTCCTTTTCCCAAGTTTCACAATAAACCTTCACGCACCCTGAACCCACCTCTTCTCAGGTACTAAACCTCACTGCTACGGAAGATACTCCCTGCTTCCCACAATCTCCCTCCTCTTCCCCGCAGCTCCAGCCCCCAAACCAAGGTGAGCCGTCCCACTCGTCCCACGCGCTTTTTCCACACTAGGTGCACCGCAGTGTTCTCAAAGTGTGCTCTGGCGCTGAAGCTCTTACGGGAACGCGACTTCCCGCTCCCACCCTAACCCTCTCAATCAGAGCTGTAGGGATGGGGCAGGGACCTCCAAGCCCTGTGGGTGATTCTGAAGCTCGCTCAGCAGGAAAATTGTGCTTTGGCGCTGCCTCTGGGCTCGCTCCCCGAAAGCCCGGCCTAGCCCAGCAGAGGGGGTTCCGGAGACTCCAAGGATGATGCAGTGTTGACTCACTTCGGTCAAGGACAGCGAGCGGCTCGAGCCAGCCTTGAAGCGCAGGAGAATCGATGGGTTCCTGCGGACCCGCGTGGCAAGCCAGTTGGGGCGCGATGGGGAGGGTGTAATCCAGCCCCGAGAAGACGCACCCAAGGCACCCCTACCCCACACAGCTCCCTGGCAAACACTCCAAACTCACGTTCGAGCGACCCTAGTCCACCACACCTGTCTCCTGCGCACGGAGCAAGAGCCCCGAGAGCTCGGCGACCCAGACTCGACCTGGACTCGAGGTCCCAGGCACCCGCCCGCCTGGCACCTCGAGGCGCTCTAAGAACAGGTGTGCTTGGGTTTTCTTTTTTTAAACCAGAAAATGCAATGTCCGATGAGGTCAGTCGTCCCTAGGACAAATTTATTTTACAGACAATTCACTCATTTTTTAAAATTCTGGCTTTTTTTACAGTGAACAATTCTATATACACACACATTATAGACATTGTTTGATATAAAACACATTATCTACAATCTACTTACACTAAACCTGAAATTTCTAGTTCATCTGAGATTGTTAATCACCGATGAGTTAGTTTCTCTGCCTGTAGGACAGTACTATCCTTTTAACACTTCGCTCCAACAGGCACTAAGTGATAGTACAAAACGAGCATTTATCAACTCTGCTCCACAATGGTTGTGAATTTAAGGCAACAGTTAAGAATATCATATAAAAGTAAAGACTGTTTCCTTTTAAAGTACTCCAGGTCTGCCTGAAATGTGGGCCCCTTCTCCAAGGCACTGGATTTGGGGGTGCTTTCCACTTTGCCACTAAGTAGGCTGTAAATACAGATTATAGAAAGTCATTCAAGAAGAGCCCATTAAAACCTTTAAAGTTATAACTTAAAAAAATTTAACAAAAGTTCAAAATTACTTTTTATAAATAGAAATAACAATTTACTTTTTTCTAAAAAGGAAAGAGGGCTTGAATTTTTATCGAAACAACCTAAAATCAATACATACACCATTTGTTAAGTTAAAATTAAGGCTTCAATGTAGGTTTGCTAATTAGCCAGTGCACCTAATATTTTTAGGTTTCCAGAACACTAGAAAGTGGGTTTTCTTTTTTTTTTTTTTTTTTTTTTTTTTTTTTTTTTTTTTTTTGGTTTTTCTCTGGTACCGGGAACCGAACTCACAACCTTGCGCTTGCCAGGCAGGCGCTTTTGCCGCTGAGCTAAATCCCCAGCCCCGAAAGTGGGTTTTCTTTTCTCATATAGTTTTCCAGTTCTTCTGTGAAGAATTTCTATAGCATAATGTTATTTCCCAGTCCCGTTTTTTAACATGCCAATGCTGGTGACCATCATCCAGAGTTAAAATAGCTTTTATCGCCTTCAATGTCCACTTCCTGATCAGAATCCTCTGAAATCTCTGAGTCAAGGTCTTCCTGGGAGGCAGGGGAGGGTGAACACTGTGAACTATCCAAAGAAGCACCCGTATTCTGTTCACTGGGCAAGTCTTGCCTCTGGTCACAGGGATTGTCCAAACTTTCCAGTTCCTCCTTTTTATTGCTTTGAGGGTTCTCCTGGATAAGGGGATGAAAATGGAGATTGGTAAGATCATGAAACATGGACAAGAGGTAATATCAAAATGTCTTTTCATCCTGCACCACCCTTTTTTAGTTTATTAAATGTTTTTAATTATAACCTTTTCATTCAGAAAATACCTGCTTGTGATACTTCTTGATTTGAAAGAAATAAAAGTATAAATCACAAACGTAACTGTAAATGTACTGTATCAATTGAACACTAGATCCTTTTTTGCCTAGTACACCATTTTTGGAATGACACACAACAATGGAACATAATAAAAATTTTTCTCGGGCCGGGGATATAGCTCAGCGGCACAAGCCGCTGCCTGGCAAGCACAAGGTCCTGAGTTCAATTCCTGGTACCAAAAAAAAAAAAAATTTTTTTTTTCTCTTCAAATTCTTGTTCCTTGAATTTTCCTAGGTAACATATGAATTTCATCCCAAAATTCAGAAAATTGCAAACCTCAGCATAAATGGACTAGTACCATCCTAGATCCATGGTCTTAAGATTCGTAAAAATTTGAAGGAGAGAACTCAAATCACAACAGCTGCACACTATCTTCATTCTTGAAATATTTAAATCTTGCCAATCAACAGCTGTCTTCTAGACATTTTAAGGAGAACATTAGGGGTTGGGTCCTGTACAAGGCCCTGGATTCAATCCACAGCCCCCACCAAGTGGTGAATTAAGAAAGTTTCCAAATTATTAGATTGAATTCTTTTTCATTCATTTCCTAATATAAATTTATGAACACATACACACAAGGATGTAGCGAATGACAAAATCATGGCAAAGAAAAATGCAGAACTAGAAGAATGTTGCTGAGAAGGGAGAGAATTAAATAAAATTTACTTTAAATCTGGAGGCAATTCCTGAAAAATACTCCCAGATTACATAGAAACCACTAATTTAAAAGTCCCTGGAAAACTAGAATCAAGCCTTTGAACAAAAAAGTTAGTGCTTGTGCTTGTCTAAATTCCGTCCTTGTCTAAAATGGACATTAACACTACATAGAAGCATAATATGATATACTGTTTTGTTTTGTTTTGTTTTGTTTTTTGTCTTTTGGAGACAGGGTCTTGCTATGCAGTTCAGGCTGGCCTTGAGCTCACTTTGTAGCCCAGGCTGGTCTCAAACTTGCAATGATTCTCCTGCCTCAGCCTCCTGAGTGCTGGGATGACAGGTGTGTGTCACCACGCCTGGCAGATATACTGTTTTGTAAAACCAAACAAAATAGTACATTTAAGTTTCAACTGTGTAACAAATGCACACAGTCAGAGCCTGAAAGGAAATGTGCGAATATTTAAATCATGTTAGAATAATACAAATATAGGAATTTTATTTTCTGTTTCAAAAGGTCTTTCTTTGGGATACCACCTTGTTTTAATGGAAAAGTAATGATCAATAAATTTAACAATCTACATTAAATTTCCTCACTCAAATTATTGTTTCGAAATATTGTATTTATCATTTAAATTGGAAAATTAACAATTCAGCAATTGTCAGATAACTTTGGCAACATATCTAGATGAAGGTATCAAAAACAAATCTTTAGCTTTCAAACAACAGAACTTCTTTAAAAACTGAATAGGCCTTTCCTTTTTATCACGTATTGTCTAACAAGGGCACTGGAAGAAAGACTGTTAGAAATTTTAAACTACTTTCCCAACAGGCTTGGATATTTTCTTATATGTTTTATATTTATTGTAAGAGTTGGCATTGAATGGAAAACAATTTTTAAACTCTTTGATATTTAATTCTTCTTAAAGACAGCATAAACAAGACTTAAAGGTGTTTGTGTCCTTTTATTTACCCTTGAATTCTGCCAGGTTTTATTATGGCTGTGTAAATAACCGAAACAATTTTCTCCCAAAGATAACTGCTTAAGTCATTTACTGTCAATTACTTTATCTTTCCTGCGTTAATTAGATAAACAACATATGGGTTTATAAAACAATTAGCTGGGAGTTTTACTAGCCAGTGTGTGAAAACCCAAGCATAATTGATATAGGAACTGCATTAGGTGCTTTTAGCATTACTGCCACCTGAGCAACTCATCCTGAATTTCAGCAGAATTATTTGCCTTTTTAATCAAGGTGAAGAGGTTAAATAGTCTCTCCAATGACTCTTGCATACAACCCATAACAGGCCTCGCGCTGAGATAACATGATACAAATATCTATCCCCATAGAAACAGAACTACGTCGTCTATACCTGTTTTAGTCGTCTCCATTTAGCGCGTCGATTCTGAAACCAGGTTTTGACCTATAGGAAACAGAAAGAAACCTTAGCAAGAGGCCAGAATCCCGGAGAAGGTGGGCAGGAGGGGAGAAGGATCAGGGACTGGGGAGCCAACCAACCCTTCAAAGGCTGAGCAGCATCGCAGTGCAACGTGGTTTCCCCGCCCCCTGCTGCCCTTGGTCCTGGGGACCCTCGCCCCCACAGGTGGCCTCTGCGGGAGCCGAGGGCGCGTACCTGTCTCTCGCTAAGCTGTAGCATCTTGGCCAGACGCTTTCGCTCAGGCGGGGAGAGGTATTTCTGCGTTTCGAACTTCTTCTCCAGCTCGATGGTCTGGTCATTGGAGAACCTCACCTGGCCACCTTTCCTTTTATGCAGAGGCCTCTGCAAGAAGGGACTCCAGAGCACGGGTTTGCCTAGCGTAAGGAGAGCCGCGGTTAGCAAAGCCCGGAGCTGGAGCGGGCCGGGCCACCCCCAGACCAGCCTGGCGGTGGGGTGATGGAGGGAGGGAGGAGGCGACGCAGGGAGCCACTCGCCCTGACCTATTCTCGTCCCCAGCGAGGGGAACCCACGCACCCCAGCAACACAGAGAGTCACGCAGCCGAGCACCGAAGTCACAGCCACAGTACGCACAGCACCCTTCACACTCGGACACACAACTAGCACGCTTAGGACTAGAGAAGAACACGAATCTTTTCAAGCCCACTGTGGGCTGGACTTAGAACACCAGGACAACTCTTTCCGCAATCACTCTGGAAGTTATGCAAAACTTCTTGCACCCCTCAGTTCCCCCCTCGCTGAAAGGCACTTTCCAGGGACGCCAGCGCGCGTTCTGGGGGAGCGGGGCTGCCGCAGCACCCTCAGCCTGGCTGCGCGGGAGGCGCCGGCGCGGGGAGCCGCGCTAGGCCGCGCGCGGCCTCCAATCCTGGCCCGAGGGCGTCGCGCCTCCTCTGATTTCACACCCGGCCCGCGGGGGCGGCCTGTTAAAGCCACCCCATAGACTATGGCAACATTTCCGTCAATGTGTTTCCTGTTGGTCTATCTCGAAAAACCCTTTGCTTCCTCCTGCGCGGTCCCAGAAGTAACCCAAGGAAACCCAGGGCGCGCTCTGCGAAAACGTTCGTCCCCAAGCCTGGCCCGACTGAGGGTCCCCCTCCGGCCCCTAGAGCGGACAGAGCCGGGGGACCGTGGCACAAAACCCAGGAGGCTGGGACATAACAAATAGCCTCTTTAGACAGTGTAACTCACACATCCCGAATCTGGTTAGCGTTGAGAAGCCAAAGTGGACCGGGCTAGAGACCCCGCTATTATAATGCTGACCACGCTGCCAGTAAGAGTTGATTTAAAACCCTGGTGGCCCAGGGGAAGGGTCTCATTTCCTGAACTACCCCAGGGCTTCAGATCCCGGGGGCCCGAGGACCACCCGAGTCCAGACATTGGTGGCTTATTTTTTAGGCCGCGCACGACGCGACAAAGCCCGCAAACTGCCCAGTGTGTGCGCTGCCCTTCCGAACTGGTGCCTGGGGTCTGCACCTTCCTGGCCTACAGAAGTGTCTGTCAGTCCGTCCGTCGGTGCGTCTGCAGGCCTGCACCTAAGCGCTTTGAAAGCTGGCATTGTTTTTTCGAGATTTTGCTTGCGTCAGGCTTCAGACTGGTGCAAAACAGCTTCGAAAAAAAAAAAAAAGGAAGCAACTGGTTATTTTAGCTGCCATAAAGTCACATCCCACACAGAGGAAATGAACAATATCAGAAAAACGGATCCTGGCTATCAGAAGTCGAGTGTTTCCTGAATTTGTCTGTATTGAGGATGTCGATAAAATAATCAGCAGCGTGCACTACTCCCGGGGAAGGGTCTGCTTCATGCAGCCAGGAAAACACTTAACAGCTTCTGAAACCAGATTTACTCCTATCGAGAACTCAAGATTTCCTGTATGAACGGAAAGGGTCAGGCTCTTTCACTGCACAAGCTTGTTGAACCAAGTCCAACCCGGTAACCGCCCGGGCCGGCAACTATCCCTGCCCCTCAGCGGCAGGCCTGGGGTGCCTGGACACCGCCCTCCCCGTCCCTGTCGTTGCCCGCGCCCCCGCGACACGCGCTGCCCTCCGCAGCGGCCCCGGCCGCGGCTCCCGACGCCCTCCCGGGCCCGCGCGCCCGACGTCTGCAAGGTGCAGGAAAACCAATCTGAGTCACTGTGCGGTCAGCCGGGCTGCGCGCCCCGGGGCTCGCGCCTCGGGTCCTCAATCCTCGCGCGCGCCCGAGAGCCGCTTTTCAATCGTTTCGGCCACAGCCTTCAATCCGCCTCGCCCCTCCGCCCGCCGCCTCCCGGGCGCTGCCACCTGCCGGGTGGCGCCTTCCTCGCGTCCTCCTCGTCGCCCCGGCTTGGCCCCGCCGTGACCCGGCCGCCTTACCCAGGGGGTCGTGGCGGAGCAAGGCGTGCGTGTAGTCGTTCACCGTCCGCGGGAAGGGGTACAGAGGGCCTCCGAGGCCGCCGGGGCCGTAGGCGGCGGCCAGCGCGGCGGCGGGGTGGTGCGAGAAGGCGGGGTGGATCGGCGTGGGCTCGTACACCGGGGTCCGGTAGGAGGACACGAGGCTGGTGAAGGAGGAGTTGGGGGACGGCAGCGTGGGGGCGGGCGTGGGGGCGGCGGGCCCGCGGCCCAGGATGTCCTCGATGTAGAAGGGCGTCGGGTGCGCGGGCTGCAG